GAGGAAGCGGTGGTCACCACGTAGGTGAGCGTATCGAGGTGCTATGCGAAAAGATGAAGTCCTTCGATCAATTGGCTGAGGCTTTGAGCGGCAAGTTCACCCCCGAACAGCAGATCACCCTGCGAGTGGCGCACTCGAATCTACGCGACATATCGCGCCACGACTTCAAGGAGCTGCGTATGTCCATCACCCGGCTCGAGTTGAACCACGATCATCTGGGGTGAGTGTGACGCGCCGTTAAGCGACGAAAGCATTCTTCATTATTCGAGAGCGCCTTGAAAAGAATTAATATCGCACGACGTATATGCGAACGACGTTAGATTCCGAAGTACGAAAGTGCTCGAGTCCTTGATGAAGAGGAGAATTGTGGGGGCGCGATAATGACGCGTTACTTATCAGTCACGGTTACTACACGCATGAAGATAAAGTTTTCGTTTATCTAATTTCCTCAAACGCAGTAAACATCAACTAAGCAATTTTTCTTCGCTATCTTTGCATAAACAATATATTAGATTATTTCTTTCGTTGAAAGTCTATTAAATGTTTATATCTACTTATTCGAATATTGATGAATTGGAATTTGTGAAAAGCTTTAATAAAATTGGCAAATTTTTGCAGAGAATTTTACGGATTGAAGAAAGAATTAGAGAGATCGGTTAAAAAATCCCGATAGTAAGAACGAGATAAGTCGAGCGAAATCCTATGGCTGGAGTCCTGGTGCACGTTTGTCATTCGTATTCGCGTATTGCTCGCATAGATCTCCGTCTGTAAGTGTGCCACACACGTCAACACGGCCGGCCAGTATCTTTGCAAAAGGTCATCGTCTGCTATTGCGGACATTGAATGGAGACATTTGTATATGTATAACAAAGAAGCGATCTTAATTCTCATAACGAGTATTTGCGAAGGCGTTCGCGGCGCTATTGCGTACAGGCCCGAGCCGCCGACAGACTCTCGAACGGTAATCCGAACGATTCATCCCTGAAATCTTACCGTTAGTGATCGAGCTTAACGCGACACCTTATGATATAAGGCTTATGAGAGATAGCGCTTTCGTATCACTCGGAAAGAAGTTTCTTTTTTTCCTCGCTCATTACACCGCATTATTAAGTAACGCGATAATAATGATACAACAAGCGAGTAATAAGCGAAATTTTGCAATCCACATTCCGATGACCGCGTCATGTGATGTCGTGATGACGCGAAACATCGTCGCGTACGTAGCGGAAGCAGGATATCGTAGCGGATTAGAGATATCATTACGTAATAATTCTGCCGCAGTGATTGGTGAATGAACCCGATAAATGCGTCCCGATACGTCTCGAAACTTGAGCAAATACGCTCCAACGTGGTCGCTGTCGGTTGAGGTGACTTGGTGTTTTCCACAGTTTGCACATCGGCTCGCTCTGTATAATTATCTTCCCTCGGAATAACGCGTCCGGTGACCGTGATCCTTTACGAGCGACACAAAGGACGAGCTGCCGGTCTTCCTTCATTATCCTACGGTGCGTATATCCCGTCGGGATCCTTCAAGATCCTACATCTGTTTAAGCATCTCCTCGCGAGACAGAGCCGGGGAGGAGCGGGGTGTAAGAATGAAATCTTCATCGTGCCTGACCTCTTCGCGAGTTATCGCGGCCGGTTGTGTGTGTTTATCGTCGTGGAATAATTAAATAACGAGCGACAGCGTGAGCCGATACTAAGTGAATAATCGAACGATAACTTCTGGCGCGTCGCGACTTTTTCAGGACTCCTCATTGGCCCGGTTCGCCGCTCCCGGCTGTGTATTACTACATGAGTGATAAGCGACGTTGTAATAGAGAAATATGCGAAATGTTATTTGATGACGCTTGAGAAAATTTTTAGACAAAATACGCGTCGACACGCTACCCGCACGATTCTACTGTGTGTCTCGTTCGCTGCAAGTCGCGAACCGATGAATGAGATATCTCGATTTGCAGGGTCGTAGACGGCGATGTTTTCGCCGGTCTGGGTCGCACGCAGTACTTGAGTCTCGCGGACAACGAGATGCCGGCGATCCCGAAGCACATCCTGTCGCATCTGTCGCTGCTGAGGACTCTGGATCTCAGCCGGAACCGGATAAGCCGCATCGATTCGGATGATTTCAAGGTGAGTGCTCGGTACTTACTTGGATCCAGTTTGGGCTTAGATTTTTAGCGTGCGCAGAACGATATAACGATATAGATCGAGATCAGAAATCGAAATCGCAAACTCCTTGAATATATAGCGATACCGTGGCTATAGCCACCTGGATAGTTAAACGATTATCCTTTTTTTCTGCAACTTATCGCGAAGACGACTTTTGAAAGAAATGCTCTAATGATGCTTTCGCGCGATTGAAGATAGAAATTGACCTAAATTCGAAGAGAGATACAAGAGGTAAAAATTAATACCGTTAGGATAAAAAGTTAAAAGATATTAGTAGTAAAAAGTAAAACTTTGCATTGCTGTGTTTCGATATTATTATTATTAACAAAATTGAAAGTAGAAAGAAGAGGAAAATTATGCAATTTATGAATGCCACGATTTCGTGCTCGCTTGTTCCAGTACAATCCGACGCTTCAGCACTTGGCCATGGCCGGAAACGCGATCTCGGAGATGACCCCGAGCTCGCTGCCGCCTCTTGTGAAGCATTTGCACGTCGGCAGAAATCATCTCAACAGTCTGAATCATACTTTAAGGTAAGATTCGGAAGAAAGAAAGAATGTGAACGGAACGGCTAAAGTGAAAAATGCAAATTTTCGCATCATCAAAGATTGTAAACGAATGTAAATTATTGTGTATTATGATTTTTTGATTGACTTCAACGTAATTAATGCAGGAAACACGATTTCCATTAATTCGTCGCCACTCATATTTGTAATCAAAAAGCTATCACATTTCTCTCATCCTGTTTACTATATGTTTAGTCATTATCTCTTCTAATTTATCCTGTCTACGATCGGGGCAAGGAACGGCTCGACACGCAGAATAATCGGTGATCAAAGGAAATTCCGTGTGCGTTCGATTATCGCCGACTTTTTAAAATTGCGCGAGAATCTTGGACGACGACGACGACGGCGTCGAAACACGTAAAACAGGATTCTACGGGATTTAGCCACGTGCCCCACTTGTTTGCTTGCAGAGATTTAAATCAACTCGAGTGGTTGCTCATTAATTCTAACGAGCTCACGTCACTCGACGGCGAGCTACCGTCGTCCGGCCACAATCTCAAGATGCTTTATGCCGTGGATAACAAACTGACGCATCTGCCGGCCGAGTTCCGATACCTCCACCGTCTGGAGACCCTCTTTCTCCAGCACAACAAGATCCGAAAACTCGACGGCACGCTGCAGAAGGCCAGACGCTTGAAATTCTTGGAGCTCTCGTACAACGAGCTGCAGGAGGTATTTAATCCGCCACATTTACGTCACGCGAAACATTCTTCTCGAATTTCATCCTCCATCGTGCCTTTCTTTTAGCACAAAAACGAATGCTCGATATTCGAATTAAAATTTTCATGACTATAAATATAAAACTCGTTTCTTTTTTTATATTTGGATAAGTAACTTGAAAAAGAAACGAACGGAATCTAGAAACGAAAGTGAATTCGTAAGTAGTGTAACTTGCGAAGAGTGCACTCAGACGAGTGCATTCGGAGCGCACGTGCTCTCGAATATTACGCTTTAACGCGCGGCGGCGGCGGCGGCGGCGGCGGCGAAGTCCGAGGCGTTCGTTCGTGCTAAAGCGCGCCGTGCATTGAGTCAATTACCGCGACGTAACGTAATTATTGCTGCCTTCCGCCTGGCGGAAGGATTTTCAAGCCCGGCATCCGACGAAACGAACGGACGCAATCTCTCGCGCAACTTTCTCGCCTGTTTGCATCACTTATCGGATCAGACGACGTTCGTCGCGACGAATGCTAATTAAGCGCGCAATGAGATACTATGGGTAGAAATTGAACGGACGCCTGAATTGTGCCTCTTTAGCTGAACGCGGACGATTTCATAGAGGCCGAGATGTTGGAGGACCTCGAGCTCGGACACAACTCTCTCAAGTCCCTCGGCAGCGCGGACGGCGACGGAAACGGGAGCGCCCTTTACCCTCTCAGATCGCTGAAGATCCTGAATCTCACGCACAACGAGCTCCGCGAGTTCTCGCTGGCCTCCCTGCGCGGTGTACGCGAGCTCAGATTGCTCGATCTATCGAACAACCGGATCGCCAGATTACACAGAGGAAGGCCATCCTCCGAGGTGGGTATCTGCGTCATCGTTGACGTTCGACGCGTCGAAGAGCGTCGGAGTCGTCAACAATAAACACGCTAAACGGCAAGCTTGATCGATTGGAAACGATTCGCAATGTTCGTAGAATCTGGTGGAGGAGGAGGGCGAGGAGATCGCAGGCGGCAACATCCAGGAGCTCGGTCTCCAGCATAACGAATTGCGCAGCCTGGATGGCTCCTTGTTTCTGGGAATGAAGGAGCTGCAAAAGCTCAATCTGAGTCATAACGCGCTAGGCCCTACGATCGGACCGCGCGACCTGCGCGGTCTCGACGGCCTGCGCGTACTCGATATCTCGCACAATCAACTCACCACTCTCGAGGACACGTCGGAGGTAAGTGTGAAGTATTGATCTAGTTTTATTCCTTTTTTTAAAACGTTATTCTTTCTTTTTTTTTTTTTTTTTTTTTTTTCTTTACGTCGCGATTGAATATTGATTGTACGATTGTTGTTTAGACGTGGCTGCCGTCCTTGGAGGAATTGAACGCGTCACACAATCGCCTGGTCATACTGTCCGGCCGAGATTTTCGCGGCTTTCCGGTGCTCTGCTGGGCCGACGTCAGCATGAATCAAATACGTACTCTCATGCCGGAGCTGGTGGCCAATACACGATGCACGATTCACGGAGTCCCCGACGTGCTACGTATATACCTTCAAGGTGAGGTTTATATTAGACTCTCTTTCTCTCTCGAAGCGTCGCTCTCCGACCACCTTCAGTACCATATTTAACGCTTTCGCTGCCATATATGTAAATATCGTTTATAACGACGTTATATAATATCAGCGGACAATTAAAATTAATATTTATATTGCACTCAACGCGTTTGAAACTCTTATGCCAAACAAAATTTCATATAAAAAAGTATTTTTTTTTTTTTTTTTTATTTAACATGAATGCTATATCTATAATGTTGCTTGACAAAATAATTTTTAGCCAAAGTCAACAATGACAAGATATTTAATCGCGTTGATGAGAGAAAGAAGGACAGGCAATATTATCTGCTGTGCATTCTCCTGTACGAGATACTCGCTATAGACGAACGGTAATCGAGTTAACTGTCGTGAATGATCCTCTGATTCCTACAGAGGAATCTCCGCTCGGTGAGGCGACTGTTAGTGTCACAGCGGATTTTGACACCTCAAAAGAGTGTTACTCTCACTTAGATCCATTTAAATGCAGACTTTACGCTGTACACATTAGAAATGTCCTTTATAAATTCTACTAAATTTTGACATGTGATTTTTAATACTGGATCTGTGTTTTTCAGCTCAGAGAGTAGCATTCCGTACTTCCGTTTTCTTTTGGAGATTTCCGCTCGTAATGTTCAATATAATTTGGCAACAATTGGCGTACGATTAAATTCAATTCAGGTCGTTAGGCGTTAATCGAGGAGAAGAGAAGGATGTGTGGCGCAGTGGCGTCGCGTAATTAATAAACATCGCATGTAAGGTCTTAGCGTGGACAAACAAACAAGAAGCAAAGCGGACGGAGAGAGAAAGAGTGAGGGGGGAAAAAGGACGGCGGAGAAGAGAATGGCCGATGCGTGGGGGACAGAAAATAAATTATTCGCTGATAATGGCTTGGCTCCGTTCGGCTCCCGAGGCGTATATATTATTTGTTACAACGGTTACATTTCTCGCGATAACCCCCGCTGTGGCGCCATCACGAATTATTTATTGTATACCGGCGTCTGCTCGTTGAGCTGTTGTTATTGTTAATATATCGTCCCTCACCCTCTCGCTTTGCGGCCGCAATATCGTGCCCAATCCCGTTATCTGCTGGTTAGTCTCAGTTTTTATTAACACCGCCATTCTCTTCTCTCGCCTGTGGGTTCTCGTTCGGTTCTCGTTGAAAAATTCGGGGATAAAAAGTAGTCAGGAGGGTTTTACGTCTCAAGCGCGACAACCGCTGTTAACAGTTAATATTACGGCTAAGAGCTAATCTTCGTTATCACAGCTGGCGCCACATCGTCACTTAATCATGTGTTTTTATGATAATTTTTTTTTTATTTACGATAATTTACGATCAAAATAATGTAGCTCTTGAATTTAGGGCTAAGATACAGCAAAGTACGCACAGTACGAGTGTAAGATACGAGAAATAAAAAATCATGTTACATGCGATACATTTCTTTCGTTCCTGGTATCTTATTGTTGTTCCATTTCATCGCGCGGCGAACTCTCATACATAACACACTTTGTTGTTTACAGATAATCCCGTGTTGTGCGACGCCGGACTGGCTGACTTGACCGTCGCGCTCGAGGTAAATCACGCCAAGGTTTACGGGGTCGGCAGCGATTGTCCGAGTACAACGACGTCGGCACCATCGCCTCCGCCGCTTCCGACGACGACGACGACGACGACGTCAGCAACGACGACGACGACAACGACGACAACGACGACGTCGTCGTCGACGGCAGTCGAGCCGACATCGGTTCTACCGCCGGCGCCGTTGCCGCCGAAGCTGCTGCTGGCCGCCGCGGCGGCCGTGTCGGGCGGCAACGTGTCCTTCGCCGCCACCCTCGAGTAAAAAAGGGTGCCGCATCGCCGCGGTGCGTAGTGGCGCTTTGAGAATAATTGCGCGAGCACCGCATACAGTAGAGTGAAAGAGAAAGGTCTGGCGAGAAGCGAAGGAAGACCGGTGTAGAGAAATTTGCGCGGTGTAAAAAAATCGCGCGAGAATTTGTTGTCTTCGATTGGTCGAGATGGCGAAGAAGACCATCAAAGTACGTAGCGGAGCGACCGTCAAAAATAATGGCGAGCCGTCTTCACAGAGACACCCACTTAATCGTGCGTGTCGCGCGTACGTACGTATCGTAACGAGCTCGACGATATTCCGAGCGTTCTCGACAAATTTCGTTCTCCGCGATTCCCGAGGACGAATGTGTGTATGTGTGTCTGTGTCCACGTGGACGGAGAAGCGATTTTACGATCAGCGGTTTTGTAATCGTCACGACAAATCCTGAGGTGGTCCGCACAATTCCGAAGATATTTATTGGATATTTGTTTGGGGAAAAATTGTCTAATAATAATTAAGACCGGAGTGGTAAATCTCGAAATAATTCAAAAAAATTCAAGATTCAGCGCGGAGTTCGTAGTCGATCAGAAATGAATGAACGCGGGATTGTGCGATTACGTACAAAACATATCGACCGTCGTATTTCCTTTATCAATAACAGGCGCAAGGCTCTTACATGTCCTTCCGTTGTAAATAGTCTGTACCAGTAGAAGATCCCGTTCGTATAGAAATAAGCCATTTTTAATCCAGCGTTCCTTTTTCTCAAGTTATGTATGAAATAGAGAATAGCCGAACGAAGCGTTATTCGCAGAACTCGATATTTTGTCAATTTATTTCTTACGTTCAATTCTTACATAAAGTAATTTTTTGCGTGTTCAGGACACAAGGAATCACAAGCAAACTTAATCATGTGCTATATGATTTTGACAGTGTTACAAAGGAAGGATTAATATATGAATCATATTAATTCGTGTTAATTATTAATATAATAATATATTTCTTGTGGTTAACATAATTACAAAATATATATATATATATATTTCGAGAATATCAAGTGCGTACAGATTCAAGTATTTCGAACACGCGGCGGAAATATACTAATCATCGTTTTCTGATACTAGTTGGGTTTCCGACGTATCACGTAACGGAATGACATTCTGAGCGGGGGGAAACGGCCGCAACATTCTACAGCGTAATAATTCGCAGAAGATTTCGGTCTTTAATTAAATTCCACGATGGTCATGTGTATGCAAGCGAATTCCCGGCGGGTCAATGGAGCAAATGAAATCTGTTAACTTATGCCGTTAGCATAGGCAGATTGGCAGTGGGCGATCAATTGACTCCTTCGTTAACTAGTACCAATAGGGACGAATTGTTATCAGCGTGCTTCCACGCATACATAATGGATCAGCCCATTTATCCGCGTACGGCGTTCGGCTCTCTATTCCATACGCGCGTAAATAATATTAATAAAATAAATGTAGCATAAACGCGCGCGCGCGTGTTCGTAAAAATTCGCGAAACAAAAGTTTTTCCTGAAACCGTAACATTATAATATTACACATATTAATTAAAAATTTCAAAATTTGGATACTTTATGCGTGTAATTAGTATGAGATGTAGCATAAAATATCATTTGTAAAAGTACACAAGATCTACAAAAGTTCCACGCAAAAAACGTCCTTTTATAATTGATATCGTGAAATTAAATTTACAAACGTTAAATCTAAACGAAATTATAATTTTGGCTCGATTCTTTTGACACGTCATATACATTGCAGAAGGCAGGCAATAAAACGACTGCTAGCTTAATCAGCTAGAACTCAAAATCAAAATAATTTATCTCTATCAAGTATTTTAATGAAGATTAACTTTGCGCGTCGTAGAGACATCGCGAGAATCGCAAAATAAATGATTAAGTATTATAACAAGCATATGTAATGTCTACGTAACAAATATTCAAGTATTTATGCATACAGAAAATATCACAGAAATGATTAAAAATACGTAGAGTATATTAATTTAAAGTCCAAGAGCACTGGTCTTACTTGGAAGTGAATTTCTCGCGGTGTGTTTGCAAGACGTTGCAGCGCTATATGTATTTAGGTACCATTTACACGTATGTATAAGTTTATGTACATATATATACTTATAAAAAGACAAATCAGACTTGTTTATATAATTTTAGCATCTAAGTTATTTATCCGCACTGTGATTTGCAGTCTCCTTCTTCATGTAATGTTTTAGAAATATACTTCGTAACTCGCATAAAAATAATGTAATTTCCAAAATTTTGGATGGTTCGGAACTGTCCATTGCAACACTAATTAACTGGTTTAAATGCTCTTTCTTTAACGTTGGTTCAATTTGTTCAACTGAAATAATAATTATACAAATAACTGTCAATATTATTAATTGTATTTCTTATTCTAGATTTATATTTGGATTTATATTACATACCACTCCATTGACCATTACTGAATAATAATTGTGCAAAGTATTTATTTGAGAGTTCATCATTAAGTGAGTTTATAAAAAAGGAAATTTTTGCATGTTGATCATTTTGCTCTTCTTTGAGCTCTAAGTACATATTCAAGTTCGATTTGTACGTGTTACAACCACGCTTTATAGCATTCCATTTCGAAAATTTTTTTTTCCTTTTTTGTTCATGTTCTGAAAACATATAATTTAAAAGAAATAGAAATTACATCAGATAACAAACAATATTAAATTTACAGATTATGATTTAAGTAAACAAATTAATTTACCTTGCTTTATGTCCACTATGTTCAGTAAAAAATTATCTCTTTGCACTTTAAGATTCTCTGATTCATCTTTTAAACTCTTCTGTAACGTTGTTATATTCAATATTTTCTTATCACTTATCTTCTGTTGCTGTATAATAGCATCTACATCAAATTTTACTTTGTTGATTTCATTTTGTATCTCTAACAGTTCTTCATATTTGACAGATTTCTTCTTATCACAGTCTGAATAATACAGAAATATGAAAAATATTTACATGTACACAAATAATTATCTGCAAACGTCTCATTATACAAATTAAATTCCACGATTGTACGACATAAAATCTTTTAATAATTTTTGATAATTTAATAAAAATACATAGAAAATCATACCTTCCTCATAAAGAAGTTTTTTTTCAATCTTGACAGCGACATGTGATCGAAACTCTTGACATGATAATCTCCATTTTTGTAGAAGAATATTCATATTGTCTTCACTTTCGAGTACTTCGCGTATATCGCACTTAAGATTTTCGAGATCCATTGTACTCGCGAATAAATCAAAATAAATGCACAAATCGCTGAGTGACCAGATACGATAGGTCTACTCATAACCTTTATAAACCGTTGTTGCAGGATGCATTCAAACACGAACAGCAGTGAGGTCACCATTGCGGTCCAAATGTCACTAGAAGAAAATCATACGAGTCGGTAAAAACGGATGTTACATTTTCTTATGCACAACTTTCTCAATAAATAAATTATAATTATAATTTGAGCAAATATCGCAAAATTGTTTTTAAAATTATTGGTAGCTGATACAATTAGTTAATATTATTAAAATTACCAATGACTGCATATATAGCTAACTAAAATCACAAGTTGCTAAAGAACAATAAAATACCTAACTATAGAACAATAAAATACTTAGTTATATATTTAAAAATATGATAATCCTTATAATGACACAGAGTTATATCTTAACAAATGCAGTTAACGACAAAATACAATAAACTGCAAAATGCTTTCCATGCTATTCACTTTTTTCGGATCAATGTCCAAGCATTCACATATTGTTCCATGATTCCATCTCTACTATTTCTACATTTCCATCCTCCGTCAAAGTTAATGTTTGTCTTTTATCTTCCCTCCTAGTTTGTATTTCTGTTTCTTGTATAATATTTGATTCTGATCTCGTCATTTTATTTAAGTCATTAGTGTCAACAATATCCATGTCTTGCTCCAAAACGTTAATCTCCAAATTCGAGGATGTTGAAGCATCTTTTCCAATAGAAATATTATTTTTTTAAATGTATTTGCAATAACTTATCATCCTATCAATAGTAAATACTTACTTGGTGTGACATTGGAAATGTATAAATGATCACAACTTGATAAACCTGTTAATGGAGGTGGTGTCATTTGCACAGGCAATAAAATCGATTGCATTGCTGTCTCTAAAAATGATGGCTCCATCGAATCATTCTTGACAATAATGTTAGAATTATCTGTAACATATTAATAGCATAATAATTATGATAAACTGAAAGCAATACTACTATCAAAATATCATTCCTTTTTAATTCAATGATGTGCTACCTTTCTCATTTTCCTTGTTTTCTAATTCATTTATTTTGGTACAATTGTGTCTTTTATCTTTCTTATTTGCAGATATACGCATGCCACATTTATTGCAAAACTTCTGTTTGAGATGATCTCTCAAGTGATACATCATAAAGGAATTGGACTCAGTGGTATATTTACACTTATCACATTGTAACCATGAGTACGGTTTTTTCTGTATCTTTTTATTTTTTGAGTATGTTTCTAAGTCAATCTCACTCTGTTCAGCGCAATAACTGGTCTCTTTTACATTGGATCTTGTGATTTGTGGTGGCTGGCATGGCTTTGGTCTGTTGTTACTATCCTGAAGATCTCCATCTGTTAAAGCATATTTCAGCTTTATAAATTGTAGAACGCGATCACGAATGTTGCGCATTTCCATTTCCAGCCTGTCGAAAGTATTAATAAGAGTGGCACAACAACGACAAATCACATCGTCTTCGGCTATAACAAACATGTATCTGCAACGCAAAATAATTTCTTTTTTAATATTTAATTATTTTGCATATGTAGACTGTTAATAATAGTAGACTTATCACCTTTCGCCGACTAATTCGCCGAGTTTTTGGATTATTTTGGTTTGTGAATGTTGTGTTTTGCATGTAGCCAAAGCGTAATAGCGGCCCTGAATTTCATCGTCGCAAACGAAACATCGTGCATCCTTTACTCCGTCACTATCATTATCTCCTCCATCCATGATCTTGGAAATGTGTATAAAGTTTATAACAATGTTGTTATTATTGTTGCCGCTGAAAATCCAACAATGCCGCGCGATACGTCAGAAGAGTATTCACAGATTAGGTTGGGTCAGGTTAAATTAGGTCGAAACATGCGAGGGAAAAATAATCTTAATTGAGAGATTTATATCATAGAGTAAAATTATTTGTTATTATTTATTATGTATATGCATTTCATTATAACGTTTAGCAGTTATTTTCTTGCAGGTCTTGTATTCTGAAATTTCACATTTAACAAACATCGAGAAATGTGAAGAGAGTAAAGAAAAATATGGAAAGGGGAGAAAAGAAACAATTCTTATAACAACTTTTATATTTTATTTAATTAAAGAAAAAATATAGAGAAATACATATTTTTTAAATGTCAAAATACAGAACTGTAATCTATAATTTTTATAGAGCCTGCTTTTGACAAACCAATTAAACTTCGTCCAAGGAAAAAGAACACTTTCTGATAATAAGAAGAAGAGGGTCTACTTGTATAAAATTTGTAAATTATTATGCAATAGAAAATGCGTTAAATATAAAATTTATAAAACTTATTTAATAATTATTATTTTATTTCAGCCTCGCATTTTATATATGCACGTATATAAACTGCGTACACATATAAATTTTTATTGCGTTCTAAAAATTTTGGAGATTAAGGCCTTATCATCTCGGGAACTTAATTACGGCCCTAATGATCTATTTGGCATCTTTTTCAAATTGTATTATCCCTCAGGATTATGATGAGATGTTACTGCATCAAAAGAAATCCGTGCAATGATAAAAAGAAATGAAAAATATCGTACGTTCGGCTGACGCGATTTGCGCGCATACGGCCGATCTCTCCGTGCCGCACGAGCAACCTAAATATAGAGTGACACTGTGGCATTAATTTGTTGAATGAAAAGATAGGTGCGTTCATGCTCGAGGGGGACCGTGCGTCATTGTGGGGTAGATCGCGACGGGGTACAGCAGAAATCTCTGCATCCGCGCGAGCCCTTCCTCGAAGTCGCGCTCGGTTGAACGTTCGGCGAACATTCCAAAAGGGGTGGCTCCACCTCTTTAAAAATTTTACATCCTGCGCTGAAAATCCTGGAGGTGATCTCATCCTAGTAAGATTGTGGAATATTTAGCAGAACATCAAGGATGCAAGAGTAAGGAGCCAGTGCAAGGCGGTGAAGAAGTAAAGTCGTTGACGGTGTGGGAAAAGCACATACTGGATCGCAATAATCACGTACGTATCACTTGCGATTTTCACGTGGAACAAACCCATTATTTATTTTTTTCAACGGTGAATGGCGGTCTTTGAAAGTATATCAAACATCTGAAATAAAATGAAATTATTCGCATTATTATTCATACTCGATCGCACTAACCGATTTGTAATTTAATTTACATTTCAATTTAGAATTTAATGTTTGGTTTGATTAGCAATTATTTTAAACGGGTGTAAAACGTTTGCGATTAAGTAAAGAAGATTGGATTTTTCTGTCGCAGTCGTCGTAGTCGTGGGACACACGGTAACAGCGATGTATAGAACACCATGAGTTAAATCGTAAAATAGGACAAGGTTGTGACGATGAGAACGCATTCGGCGAACACTATGATTCCCGGAAGTGGCTCGTTATCTATCGTTCGTCATCATCAAGACCCTTGTCATACCTTATACGCACCTCGCGCTCGACGACGGCGATGACTACGATGGGCATTATGAAATCGCGAATATCATCTATTATTTATATTACAGTCCCATCATCATCTCCTATGTATTCTCCTCAGGCCCCATAACACGTCCGGCCGCTCTTAAAGGGCTTCCTGCTTGTTAAGATCGGCGCAACTAAACAGAATGAAAAGCTCGTGTCACAAAACCCTTCCTAGTACAAGCGGCAATTATCAATCAGCCCTTGGCTCTTCTCTCTGTCTCTCTCCACTTAGCTGCCAATTCAACAGTCATCTCATTTTATATTCTAGCGTTTTGATCAGAAGGAAGAGCGCAACCCACGCATTCGCGAGCTGGTTTCCACTCGCAGCCAGTCAATTATAATGACGTGATTTCTCCAATTCCGATCTCGTTTTGCGATTTCCTCGCTGCAAAGAATAATGCCTTCGAGAGAATCGACTCAAGGCCGTCCCAAGGTAGACAGATCCACCAGTCCCCTGTCGCGAAAACCGGCGGCGAGTCCGGCCGTGAATCCGGCCGCGAATCCGGTGCAGGAGCTGAAGGCTCTCTTCGCCGAGCCAACCGTTAACATAGCCACCTCTAATGGCGAAAAAGAATCGGACTTCCGATTCGAGGCCATACAATGCTTGCGGCAATCCTCCTTCCTCGTCAAGAGAACCAAGGATCTACCGGAACGAGGGAATTGGAGCAGCAAGGTAAAAGCGCGTCGGTCGACGCGGACCACGGAACCTGGATTTCGTCGATAAACATTATTTCTATTTCTTTTTTTAAAGATCGAATTTATTTTGTCCGTCGTGGGATTGGCCATAGGTTTGGGAAACCTGTGGCGATTTCCTTACCTCTGCTACAAGAATGGCGGCGGTGCTTTCATGGTACCCTATTTCATCGCGCTCGCGCTGGCCGGTATACCCATGTTCCTGATGGAGCTGTCTTTAGGACAAATGCTGACGATAGGCGGCCTGGGTATCTTCAAGATAGCACCGATCTTTAAAGGTGATTTTAGAGAGGCCTTATTCTTTTGGAGATCCGGCAATGCGACGGTGCATTCATTTTTGCAGGCATTGGATACGCGACTTGCGTGCTTTCTTGCTGGACCAACGTGTATTACATCATCATCCTTGCTTGGGCGCTCTTCTACTTTTTGGTCTCCTTACGAGCTGGTGAGTGTGTGATCTAGTTTAGAACACAATGCCCTGAAATCTTATTATTTAACTGTAAGATCAAAGAGAAATAGTTGCGTATGTGGCGTAAATTTTGCGCAGACTTACCATGGAGATCTTGTGACAACTCATGGAACACGCGCTACTGCATCACGCCTGACGAACGTCTGAACGTTTCATGCTGGGAGGATGATTACTGGCCGAACAACATTATATGCGCCACATCCTTGGGAAACTTGAGTCACGAGCTGTTGAAGGATCCGGTCAAGGAATTCTGGGAGTAAGTTACCGGATTCCTTAGCTTCCATCCGTTACAATGAACGATTAAAAAGTATCTTTCGTATTTTTTTTATTACGAAAAGGAGGCGAACCCTGCAGATTTCCACGGGTATCGAAGACGTGGGCAGTATAAGATGGGAATTGGCTGGCACGCTTGCAGTTGTGTGGATCATGTGCTACTTTTGCATCTGGAAAGGCGTGAAGTGGACCGGCAAGGTAAAGCAAATTCGTTAAAAACGGATCCATGCTGATTGCTTTTGAACGTAACGCGAGTTACATAGACAGCATAATGCAGGTTGTCTACTTCACGGCGCTCTTCCCGTACGCTCTGCTAGCGGTGCTGCTCGTAAGAGGCTTGACACTGCCGGGCGCTTCAGAAGGTTTGAAGTATTACGCTACGCCGAATCTTTCAAAACTCGGCGATCCCGAGGTAAGACTGTTGATATTGTCGATTTTGAGACACACCAGGATATAATTATTATCGTATCGTCGCTGTATAGGTATGGATAGACGCGGTGACGCAGATATTCTTCACTTACGCTCTCGGTCTGGGCGCGCTGGTAGCTCTAGGCAGTTACAACAAGTTCAACAATAACGTTTATAAGTAAATTACAAGTTGCTCTTTACCTTTCCTTGTTAAAAAGCATTATATCTTTAAGGTTTATAGAAGCATACAATAGATTATTATACAGTCTTATCGATATATTACAGAGACGCTCTCATCGTATGCGGAGTGAACACCTGTACCAGTCTGCTTAGCGGAGTGGTTATATTCTCAGTGGTCGGTTTCATGGCCCACGAGCAACAGAAACCAGTAGCCGACGTGGCTGCTTCTGGTAATTATCCGTATTTTTTTTATCTCTCTTAGATTAAAACATCTCGTAATAATAATTGTATTGTATTCCGTTATTTCGACTACAGGACCTGGTTTGGCTTTCTTGGTTTATCCCTCCGCAGTGTTGCAATTACCCGGGGCGTCGATTTGGGCGAGCTTATTTTTCTTTATGCTACTTCTAATAGGACTGGACAGTCAGGTAACGTAGATTCGTCGAATCCAAGGTGAACATCCATCACTTTTAGAACTATATCGATTAATGTTAATGTTAAAAACAAGTCACACAATTTCAGTTCTGCACTATGGAGGGCTTTATCACCGCCGCCGTGGACGAGTGGCCGCGAGTGCTTAGAAAACGGAAGGAGCTGTTTATCGCCATTGTATGCTTGATCTCCTATCTAATTGGGCTTTTGTGCGTTACGGAAGTGAGTATACTTTGTACAAAACTGCCCAACGGTGACATCTAAAAATTTTAAATTTTTTGTCTTATTTTTTCAGCCTTATATTCTTTAAATAATCCATTCGTGAATTACCTGATGCTAATTATCTTCATTTTTCAGGGTGGAATGTACGTCTTTCAGTTGCTAGATACGTATGCCGTGAGCGGATTTTGCCTGCTCTTCCTCATGTTCTTCGAGTGCATTTCCGTGTCGTGGGCATTCGGGGTGGATCGATTTTATGACGGCATACGGGACATGATAGGCTATTATCCTTGCTTCTGGTGGAAGATATGCTGGACAGTTACTACGCCTGCTATTTGTGTGGTGAGATCTGTTCTACTCCACCGTGTGCGTGACAATGTGCTACTTTTTTACGCCGTATACTTTGTGCATAGGGTGTCTTCATCTTTAATATCATTAAATTTGTCCCTGTGAAATATCTCACGTATGAATTTCCATGGTGGAGTCACTTGTTGGGATGGTTCGCAGGCCTCTCCTCGATGTTGTGCATTCCAGGTTACATGATCTACATCTGGAACGTTACACCTGGAACTACCTCAGAGGTGTGTAACATCGCGCGTAAGGATTATACACGTTGAAATTTAAAAACTCCATAATTTGAGCTTTCTTTTTCAGAAATATCGGAAACTGATAAAAATAGAGGACGATGTTGCCGCCTTAAGAAAGAAACTGAATCCAGTCAAGGCCGCTGCTATCGACACAGAGTTCGAGCTATAGAATCGCACTGTGCTTTCTTTGATCACATGGATCATGTACACGATGAAGTACGGAAAAATAATGGAAGGGATTCGAGCGCAATAGGATGTACACGATTCGAAAATAAATCAGATTTCATTATAATAACATTAAGATAAAGACACCATGTTTCACTCACTTCGAACGATGTCTCATCGAGCGATGTTTATTAATTAAACTAATATATCATATATCTCTTACAATCTGCTTCAAAACAACATATATCGTATAAAAAAAAGAAAGATAATAATAATATACTTCAATTCATTTGACTAATACGTTTGATTACTTCTCCTCTCACATCACAGTTGCACATCCTATGCGTTAGTAAATTAGTGTTGAAATCCATTCCATTCGTAAACTCTTAGATTAGTTAATATAAAAATCAAACACTCTATTTTATATTTAACTGCTGGATAAAACATCTATGACTCAGCGATGCCCAATATTTCAATCATACTTTCACATCTTTTTATATCGTAATAAAATTTCGAATAACTTTAAATGTACAACTTATGTGCAGTTTGATGATAAAGATTTTAAAATTTAGCCATTTAGCGGCCATCGGCTACTACCTTGCAATTTACATTTTACGACTCTTTGTTCTGCATCTCTTTAATGCGAACAAGAAGCTGCTCCTTCCACTGCTCTTCAGAGATTGCATTCGCCCATGGCGGAATAGATGTTTCCGGAAGGGTGATGGATGCCATTACAGATTTGACTTCCTTGATTTTAGTCGCATCTAAATCAATATCGGAGCGATTGTGCGCGCATGACCATACTTCCAATACTTCTGAAGAACAACTCTAAAATGTGACATGTTGTGCTCATAACTAAAACAACTCACAAAATCAATTCAATGAAAAACTGTTAGATTGTTCGAAAGACAACTTACTTGCTCAGTTGCATCAGTTGTTGAAACAGATACTGGTTGACCACCTTCACCAAATCCAGATAACCATTCGTCATTCTGAAGTAGAAATTTAATTAATGTAAGAAGTTTGCCTGTTAGAAATTGAAGATATTGCTATTTTATTGATTAAAATAGATACCTCTTCTTCATCCAACATAGGATCAGCATCGGTAGATACTTGAGATAATGGGAGATATCCTGCCATTCCCATATCTTCATCTTCACTATCATCCTCATCATTTGCCATTCTTGCATCTAGATTTACATTGGAGACTGTCAGATTCTCCTGCATGGGTTCTTGTGTGGGTTCAGGCGACATAGTGTACCCATAAACTCAATTAAATCTGAAATAAACAAAAATTTTAACAAATATAAATATTAAGAGTATTGAATTTTAATATATATTACACAATGGAGGACGCATTTAATTTTCATGACACATAACCTCACACATATGATAGCAACAATTTTATACTCAATATTATAAAAACCAAGTCTATTATATCAATATCAGCTATATTAATATAACCTAGAAAAAAATAAAAATAATCCAAATAGTTTGAGATTTCAATTACATATTTTGAGTTAATACTGATTTCTAGTTAATAACCTGCTTTTTCAAATTAATATTAAAATGTAATGCAATTCTTGTTTTGAAAATCTAGCGTTAAAGTTGCTCTTATTAAAAGATAAATGCAATAAACACAATTCGATCATAGATAAATTAAACAGATAATAGAATATTTCTACTTACTTTGAAAAATGTAGTATTTAACAGCGCAACACGTACGCAATAAACTTGAAATCACATATGATATTATGTTTGACAGCTCGCTGTGATATTTCTCTATCGGTGTGTTTATCAAATGCAAGTGTGTGCGTGAATCGTGTGGAGCACTATCTAGCGAAATTTATCGCAAGATTGCACGACACTTCACAAATCAACGTCGGTATCGTGGAGTATCGCATTACCGAAGCTAATAAGTTAACGTTTAGACGTACAGCAAATATATTTTTTATTAATTTTGCATAATTTAGAATGCAGAATACTTTAGATATCGATGATAATACATATCGATGATAATATTCGTGTTACTTTGAAATCCTGTTTGAAAGGTACAAAAAGGCGTCAAACGGGCTTCATCGAAATTCGTAGCAATCTAAGCAGATTCAGACAAGCCGAGATTCGAGAGCAGATTTTGCAATGTCTTATACAAAATTATAAATAGCAAATACTATGGAAGAAATTAAATAATTTGCCGTTTGCACTGAAGCGGAACATTCGAAATTGCCGGGGAATGATTTTAAAGATGTTTCTGGCAATGAAACGCAATTGAAAGATGCAACCAATAATGTCCGATAGACGGCAGCCAGATGATCGAGAGCAGCGCCTCGATATAATCGATTCTGCGCGGACGCGCTCCCGCTCCCTGTATTTTTAGTGTATTAAATAATAACCGTCGTAATATTCGAGAATCTTCTAAGAAGTCGACTTACGGGAGAGATCGAGATTGAGACTCACTCTCTATCGCCGAACCAGTCAGAACAGTCGCACAATAATATCGATAAAATATAGAGAGACAGTCGGGCCGATATATTAGCACTTTTGAACTTAGCCGAAATCACAACTCTGTACTTATAAGTTGATATTATATTGTTAATAGTTAAAGTAAATTCAGTGTCGAATCATTTAAGAACCATCCTGTCGTTTTACTGTTTTTATCGAAGTATCATCGTTAATAAATCAAACAAAATAACAAGGGTCGCGTATAGGACGTAACCGTCGCAGTCGTTTGAATAATCATTGAACAATTCCTTTTAAATACTTTATTTAGTAAAAATCTTACATAATGTTGACGAATTGAAGCGACGACATTACGCGCTCTTATCATACTCCCAAGAGCAAAAAGAAAACGCGCGGGATGAATGGAACGAGCTGACGTTAAGCCAAGTTAAAGTAGTAATCCTGTGCATCTCGTAGAGACGACTGGTGTATCGCGCAACATTTTCCCAAGACATGTCACCCAACGAGCTCCTCGTTCTTCCGGCAATCTTCTTTGCTTGGTCAGGTAACCTTCAATTATCGATCCAAAATCTTGAACAATGAGCAAATTTCTTTATTTTCTCCTGACTTTTGTCAATAACAAATTAATGGATGCTGAGTAATTCTATGGCCGTTAGTTCCAGCATACGCGTATCCAGAGAACGCGATGCTGAACGACAACGCACAGGCATCGATCATCGAGACGGTCTTGGAACGCGAACCGGCGACCTTTAAATTGTACACCAGGTGCGTACGATCTCTTTACCGGCGAGACAACGATTTGCAATGAAAATAAAGAAGAAACAATGCGTAAAATATATATAAAATTATAATAATTTAATACGAAGAAAAGTCAAGAAGTAAAGGAGCTCTTTTAAAGAGGCTTTTTATGATTTCTCAAATGTTCCTTTACTATTTGACTTACCCTCGTAATACGTAAAATAATAACAATGAGAGATGTGTCCAATCAATCAAAAGATGTAGTTAAAGTTAAAATTAAATTATATATTAAAAGGCTGCAGAGAATCATCCAACATAACTAATTCGAAATTAAACGAATAATATATTACGAATAATATATTACGTATTGTAAATTCTTGCATTGCTCATATATTTTTTAAAATAATTTTATGTGTTCACAATTCAGAGAATGTCGTAATGCTGATCAAGAATCAATCATACGCCGACGCGGCTAATTTCCATGCATCTTGGTGCATTATCGCATGCTACTTCGTGGAGGATGCATCAATTTTTTAATGATACATGCAATCAGTGAATATTCTATTCTCAGCGCTGACGTTCGATTGACTATCGGGTGTCGAGGCGCCGCGTCTCGTTGACGCCTGCGTATCGCATTCTCCGATTGACTTTTTTTTCTTTCTTTTTTCTTTTCTTTCCGATGAATAAGTCGATCGTAAGAAAATAAGGAGGGGCACTTACACAATGATTTTTCTTTCACATCCCGAACGAAAAGAATAACAAATTTCAAAACTTTTATCTCCACGATTCTCCGTTAGATTAATATTTTACATTTATTGTATCTGAAGTATGATTGCGTTAATTTTGCAACGTGAATAAAATCGTTATAATATTGCAGGCAGAATTCATTCGGCGAGGAGCAATTGTTCCTGAACAACACCGAGATGTTGTACGCGTCGCACTTCAACGAGAGCAGACCGACCAAGCTTATCGTTCACGGGTTCAGCGATACCGGAAACGAAGGCTGGATACGAGATCTAATAGACGGTGGGTGGAATTAGGTATTGCGTTGTCATTCGTATTTCCTGCTACCACTACCACTTTCGCAAACAATCAGGGTCAGCCTATTTCGGTAAACACGGAATCGACGTCGTTATCGGTTCAAGGGTCAGCGCGATAACGGCTTAATTAATCGTTTAGCGAGTTTTTGCTCACTCGCCAGAAACTTTGCGCGGAAGAGTTCCAAGTTCTTTTTATATCACGCGCGATTCTTCGAGAGATCCGATGAGATACTTTTGCTATCCCACAGCGCTGCTTTCAAATAAAAATTCGATTAATAATTGCATTTTTAGCGTATCTGCTTTATCAGGATGTGAACGTGATAGTCGTCGGTTGGGGAATTTTGGCGGCCGACGCCTATCCGGTGGCGGCTAAGAATACGCGTCTCGTCGGTGAGTATTTAGGCCAATTCCTGGAATTCTTAAATCGGGACTCGAACCTGGAGTACAAGGACTTGCACATCAGCGGTCACAGTCTAGGTTCTTACGTGGCGGGTTTCGCCGGAGCTTATCACGATGGACTTATAGGAAGAATAACAGGTAGAGCAGCGACCGTACGCCATTACATTTTGTCTTTTAAAATCGCACAAGTTGCAGAATTCGGCACCGATAAAAGTGAACTATAATTGTTTATTATTTACATAACTTTTCTTTAAAAGCAAAGATATTATTGCCAGTGTAAAATTGCATAATTAACTCTTATGACTATTGGAAGGATTGGATCCCGCAAGTCCTCTCTTCGAGACTATTTCCGGCGCCGTCGATCCGGAACATCGATTGGATCCGAGTGATGCTCAATTTGTGGACGTGATCCATACCAGCGGTCCGGCATTTGGATTTCTAGCGCCATTGGGACACGCCGATTTTTATCCCAACGATGGAAAGATCCCTCAACCTGGCTGTTCCTACGCGCCAACTATAAGTAAATATCTGTTATAGTATTTTTACTTATTTTTTACATAAAAAATATTAAAAAGATGAATGAACAATGTTTTAGTATCGCCTTATGTTACAGCTTACTGCAGCCATTCGCGGGCGCATCAACTTATGACCGAGAGCATCGGTAGCACGGTGGGTTTCAAAGCGAGAATGTGCGAGAGTTGGGAGAAATACAAGGAGCGTCTTTGCGATTACAATCCAGTCGTTTTGATGGGCGAATACGCTTCCACGTCGTAAGATCTTTTTGTTTCTCGAAATTTTCTAAGATTACCGATTGTGATTTCATGATTCACGATTTCTTATCTTTTTTTTGTCTAGGCTACGTGGCAAGTTTTATCTGACGACCAATGATGCTCGTCCGTTTGCGCTACAATAAGCATTCTAAATATCGATCTTGATGGATTTCGACTTGGGAATATGCAAACTCATGATTATGGCTCGAGCTGCGATTGCACAATCATCTGTACTAGTCATTCATAAGTTACTTTATTTATGAAACTTCTAATTTTGAGCGCATACCGAACGTACCGGAATGTATCTTTAATATACGTATATAATGCTGCGTACATTTAGAAAAAGTACAAATTACAATAATTGAGGTTGCGATTTTAAGTCAATGTTTCTTTCGCATTATTATCACTCTTTATCTTACCAAACTCCTTGATCTTTCCAATGAAAAAGATAATATCCGAATTTTTCCTTCACTCTTGATTTTCCAGTATGATAATCTCGAAATAACGTCATTAAATAATACAAGAGAAACAAGGAGAAATGCAATAAGCAATAACGACAGATTATATAAAATAGATAAGTAGATCGATCGAAAAGATTATTATTTCAAATCGCGAGAATGAAACATTCATAAAAGACTTGCGTTGAATACCTTATGATGCAGCGAACGCAGTGTTAGGAACGATTGCTTTTCCTTCTTCAAATTCCTTGCGCAGTTCCAGTGCGATTCATATATTATAATTTAAGAAATGCTTCGCGGAAGTTGGAAATTGCTGCTTCTATTGCGTATAGTGCTTGTTTCTTGCGTGAAAGACAACATCATGGTTCGAGACTACTTTATGTATAAAGGCGTCTCCAGTGTCGTAGGATTCTCCTGTGGAGGTCTCGAAAGTGCGTAAAAATGAATTAAATAATAAAAAAAACGTACATTATTATTAGCGATATTTTCCTTGCGTTGTAGATGACGTGAAGTTTGCGAAGACATTCAATGACGTCTACGTACTCGCGTCGATGTGGAACCTCGAATCCGTGATTGAATCGACGCATACTTTCAGGAAGCTTCTGCAAAACAATTATCACAATTTAGGCGTTTACGTGGACGCACGATGCGACCATCATAATTACACCATAATTTATACCGAGGTAAAAAAGCTGTTGTAAAGAAATCTTAGATTATAATCGTAAAAGATATATAATTTTAAAATTTAGTGTAAATTAAAAAACGATAAAAACAATATAAAAAGGGAGAAACAAGCGAGTGAAGAGAGACATCATCATAAATCTTGAGTCAGCAATAAAAAGTTACTAATAATAATTTTTTATTTTTAATTTTGAAGGCTACGAAATATTTCATGTACGACGAGACGCATAAGTGGCTAATTTTGGGATCAAAGTTGAACGATACTGTGAGTCTGTTGAACGACAATGCCTTCGGCGTAGTCACCGACGTTACGATAGCTGTACCGTCTCTCACCGGTTACGACTTGTACGATGTCTACAATCCCTGCAAAGAACGCGGTGGCGTTTTGAATGTAACCGCTTTGGGTTATTGGACCGAGAAATCTGGCGTGGCAATTAGATTGAAGCAATCGAAGTACGAGAGAAGATCCAATTTGCACGGCATGAAACTCAGAGTGGGAATCTTGGTGAGTAACCGACTGCTTAACAAAATTACAAAACTTGTTGACGCAATTTCTTATTCTCGAGAATTTTTCGCAGCTGTCGCAAAAGCTGTACGATTCGTCACTGTCGGAGGCTATCATGCTGGATTCAAACATGAAGTCGAAATACGGTCGATCTCAATTTCTCTTCACACTCTTGATGCACATGGCCGATCTCTTTAACTTCACGTAAAAATCCATTTGTCGATAAGATCTAGCATTCTCACATTTTTTTTAATGCGTATTTTTTTCTTTTCTTAGTATAGAAATTGTGGAAGTGGACCCGAAAAAGCGACAGGACAATTCCGCGCCGATATTCGTCGCCTTTCAGAGAAATATGGTAGATGTTTCAGCTAGTCCGATCGTGATGAAAGCGGAAAGATTACGAATGGGTGATATTATCGGTTCGGTGTGGCCTATGCGGTGCGTAATTTAGCGATATTTAATCAATTAGTCGTTCGTCGTCAATGATTGCTTGCACGCTTATGTAGATCCTGCTTTTTTTTCCGGACGATATCCTCGGCGAACGTGAAGACGAAGCAATTTTTGCGACCGCTAAATATTAAGGTGTGGTACGTGGTATTCGCCACGATGATTGTCGCCACATCGATCCTGGCGTGGTTGTTGCTCAAGCAGGAAGGCGTCCAGAGTCTAACGGAAGGCTACAGTATTTCTATTCTTCTTACCATAGGCGCTGTTTCACAGCAAGGTACTTGTTAATTTTTCTAAATAAAATCTTAATAAGATTTTAATAAGATCTTAATAAGGTCTTAATAAGATTTTCGTCGAGATTTTATATCTATTCTAAAACTAAATAAATTAAGTAAATTCTAGAAATTTAAAAAATGAAGATTGAAATTGAGCTCTCTCGTAGGTTCTGTACTTGTTCCGGTTCATTACGCGGGTCGCATAGCGTTTCTGCACATTATGCTCTTCAGTGTATTGATGTTCAATTACTACTCGGCGAGCATCGTGTCGGACCGATTGAAGAACAGAGCCGTGAAGATGAACGACTCGCTGATTAGTCTGGCGAACAGTCATCTGAAAGTGGCGGCTGAACCCGCGCCGTACTTTCGTTCCTTTTTGCAGGTGAACAATATTTTACACTGATGTTACACGCAATACACATATACTATATTGCCGTGTTTTACCTCCCTACATCTTCCAAAGTCACCGGAAGAAGAGGTACGATATTTTAACGTAAAACGGTGGGACAAACTGCCGGAAACAAAGCGATATCTACCGTTAGCGGAGGGTTTAGATCGCGTGGCTAATGGCGGTCTGGCTTATCACACATCGATTGATTCCGCATATCCGTATATCGAGCGGCATTTTCACTCGCGGATGATTTGCGAGCTGACGGAGGTTCATCTCTTTCGCGCAGTCCTCGCGCTTTGGGCCAGGTATCGAAGTCCGTTCACGCCGCTATTAAAAATCGGGTAAGAGAATACATTTGTAGCAATTTTATCGCACTTAAACAAGGGTTTTTAAATCGCTATACTGACTGATCACTTTTACACCTTTGCATTAAGATAATATAACTAAATAGACATTTCATTATTTAAACATGTATTTTTATTTCCTTAAGTAATATCGAATTAAATTTCTATTTTTTCTCAAAAAAAAGTTCAATAAAATATTAATATCAAATAACATGTCTTACATATTCTTCTCATATCTGTTTATTATTTAAAAGGAAAAAAATGTTTTCACAACTTTTATTTACTGATACTATCTTAATAAATATTATCGTAGCTTGGCCAAGATGTATGACACGGGCATTCGGAAGCGACAACTGAAACGTTGGTCGGCAAGAAGACCCTTCTGTCCGAGAAACCTACTGATTGCTGAGCCGCTGTCAATTCACGAAGCTGCGCCCATTTTCGCGTTTATCAGCATTACCACAACATTGTCCTTCGTGATTTGCATCGTAGAGAACCTCGTTCACTGGTTATGGCCCTCGCGGTAATAATCAGTCAAACAAATGGAGATTTAAGAAAAATAAGTTTCAAATTTTTTATGTAATTATTTGTTTTTTACAGACCGTCAATACTCAGCATCGAAAAACTACAGTGCATACAAAGAAATCTTTCGTTATTAACAAAGCGCATATCCAATATTCAAAACCGAATATTCTCACGTGAATGAATTTATAATTATGATTTTTTAATATGATTTATTCGTTCAGTTGGATTATATTTACCCGTTAAACATACGCGTAAATAATTAATCAGTCGTGTGCGATTTATTATTTGATGTAGTTCGACAGTGACATGTCTCCTAGTTTCCGAACTTAATGTGATAGCGATGGAACGTGAATAAATGATAAGACATAGGATTCCGATATCACATTTAATATTATATCGCTATTGAAAAATTCAGT